CGGAGCTGTTGCTGTAGTTGTGAACAGGGGCGCTGAGAAATAGGCGATGGGCTCTGATTGGTTAGCTAGCCCAGTGTGTTGTGATTGGCTAAACCACCTCTAGAGCTCGTCTAAATGTCCCGCCCCTCACCTCAGTGGCATGTGCTCCGGTTGTATTGTAAACAATGGCGTCGTTAATATCGCTTATCAGTTTGAGCCCGATTGAGAAGCAGAGGATATTATTGAAGAGGATCGTGCAGAACCTGTGCAAGCACGGCTTTTAATGGTAGGCCTATGTTTTTTGTTTGTTGTTGTCTCATACTTTTAGATATGGTGTTATTTGTAAATGCTACTGCTTATGTTAGCTTTTAATATACAGTTTTATCCTGATTAAAGCTTTAATACAGTACGGCAACTGCACGCGCGTCCATGTTTAACGCTTCTCATAGCTATGTGAAAATAAGTGTATAATTGGAACAGTTCATTGTTGGAGCTGAGCTGAGAGAGAGAGAGAGAGAGAGAGAGAGATGCAGAGCGTGTGCAGAGCAGGGGGACGCGAGGAACAGTATTAAGAACTGCTGCTTTAGAACATTGATTTTGAAACTTGTGAATCCATTAGAATCGTTAGAAGACAGAATCGCGATTCATATAAGAACAGATTTTTACGTGCACCTCTAGTTCTCTCTTCCTCTTCTCTAAAGCAGCGCAGCAAGGCCTCGCCCCCTTTGCTGCCTTTTCCCGAGGGCGGGGTTTGTCAGGGTTTGTGATGTCACGAACCCGGGAAGTAACTTCTTGTAGTCCCTACGAGCCGTTTTTGTAGGCATTAAACTGCCAGAATTTTAAAAGACGATATCTCCGTTTGCATTGAACTTTCAGCTTCGTAACTTTGCAGATGTTGTTTATGCTCAAACAGCAACATTACACACTAACTAACATTAAAAAAGTGAAATCGCAATCAACCACCCCTTTAAATTATTTTTCCTGCAGTGAAAAAGTTTCCTGTTGCTTAATTCATACACAGAGAGAAGTTTCAATCTGAAGAATTTGGTCCCGTGCAGAATGAAGCAACAGATTGTTCTCTTCGCTCACATGCCCTTTGCATTTGGCCTTATGCAGTTGTTCTGAACGAATAAACAGCGATGCCACGCACAGAGACATCTCTTCCTCTTCTCTAAAGCAGCGCAGCATGGCCTCGCCCCCTTTGCTGCCTTTTAACGAGGGCGGGGTTTGTCAGGGTTTGTGATGTCACGAACCCGGGAAGTAACTTCTTGTAGTCCCTACGAGCCGTTTTTGTAGGCATTAAACTGCCAGAATTTTAAAAGACGATATCTCCGTTTGCATTGAACTTTCAGCTTCGTAACTTTGCAGATGTTGTTTATGCTCAAACAGCAACATTACGCACTAACTAACGTTAAAAAAGTGAAATCGCAATGAACCACCCCTTTAACATCTCAAAATAATTCAACTTTTCAATGTTATTACATTTTTCCACTTTCTCTCTGATGTTGAGTTACATCTGACTGTGAAAGAGGTTTTTTTTTTTTTTCTTTTTGGGTGAAGGGCTTTCTAAAAAAGTAATTGATCCGTCACAGAAATGTTTTGTAAATCCTCTACACTTACATTTAGAGAAAGAAGAGATGACTCACCGGCTGACATTTCTTAAAAGAATGACATCTCTGTTTTGTCTCTTCAGCTGTGCTCCTCAGGTAACTAATCATTTTTTAGATGTTTGTGAGGGAGTGAGGACTGACACAGTGGGGGTTTGCACTGACAGGTCTTGGAGAGGCTTTAAAAAATGCAAATAGACACATACAAATAAAAGTGCCCATGAGAAGAATGAAAAAGGGGAGTAACTGTGCTCGTCAGCTGGGAGATGTGAAGGTCAGGTTGTCTGGAAAGGGTGGCGTGGCGACAACTGAACCTCCACAAAGTGTCAGCGGAGAGAAAAGATACTGTATTTATGGCAGCAGTGACAAGACACAATGAGCATTATGTCTGCCTCGTCATGCACTATACCAGCAGGACTCTTCTTGGCCACCTGCACATGTCATTCGCCTTGACCATGATGTTTTGGGCGATGACATCGAAACTAACATGAATAGTAAACTAACATGTCAGAGAGTTTGATGGGGTAAAACAAGGAAAGAGGTTTTTAAAAGATCCCCGCCGTGCAGAAAAAGGCATTTCCAAACTATTTCGGTACCGCTGAGGACTGAGAGTTAGAAAATCAGGTCATGAGAGAGTGTAATGATCGGAACATCTCAGGTATGGCTGAACGCAGACAGTTGTTCTTTAGACTTTTTGGGACGTCTTTTTTATTCTTCGGGAACAGAATAAAACAGCGGAAGGTGTCGTTGACGTCTTTTGCAAATTCCCCTTAATAGGCCCTCTAGCTCTAATTTTACTCTCACAGGAGGAATAAAAGCATTTTACATTTGTACTGCATTCTTATTTTTGGCAGCCAAAGGCCAAGGAAGACAGCAGCCCGTGGATCAGAGTCTCAATGCTGAGATCACAGTCATCTTTTTATGATTTTACCCAAAATCCTTCTAATCTCATATCATCCTTTCCATTGACGTGGAACCAGCATCTGTGAGTCACTCCGTTTATTGGGGAAGTCGTGGCCTAATGGTTAGAGAGTCGGACTCGTAACCCAAAGGTTGCGGGTTCGAGTCTCGTACCGGCAGGGATTGTAGGTGGGGGGAGTGAATGTACAGCGCTCTCTCCCACCTTAAATCACAATTATTTTGGCTGGAACTTTTCTAGCATTTAATTCTAGGTCTGTGTGGTAATATAGACTCGAGATTGATACATTTGTCAAATTGCATGTAAGTCTATCATCATAAAGCCTGATGCTATCCCTGCTGAAAAAAACAGCATGGTTTAAGCTGGTCCTTAGCTGGTCATGAGCTGGTCCTGAGCAGGAGCTAGTTGCTTAGGACCAGCTTAAACCAGCAGCCATGCTTCAAAACATACCTAACCAGCATATGCTGGATTTTTTTTTTTCAGCAGGGATGGTTGTCTTTCCCTACACATCTCTTTATTTAGTTCACTTGAATGTCTTTAATCACTGTAAAGAAAAGTCGGGTTATGTTTTTCCAACCCAATGTTTCCATTTCCAAGAACACTCCAGTCCCCACAGGCCTTTAGTTGCATGAATATTCAGGTACAAAATGATCATGCAGTTAATAATCATGAGGTTGTTTTTCCACAGCTTAACTAATGTACATTTTGTAACCGAGTAGTTTCAGTTTAAAACTCTGTCATAGTGTTGCCATATGAGGACTGTTTATGGTTTTGCAGCGACATCTTGTGGTTGAAATGATGAATGATTGTGGCTAAAGCTGATTTGTTTAAAATGTGAGTTTGTTGTGCAATCCAATTGGTGTGGTTGAAATTGCTTGAAGGTTATACTACTGCATAATGGTTCCAAAACTAATAATTATCTTATATATTGTTGTTAGTTTGATAGGCAGCACAAACAGCTTGAAAGGTGTGAAGAGTGGGGGCAATTGTAACATTTTCCTTGATAACATCTTTTGGGATAAGAAATGTATCCATGTATGTGCCAGTGGTAATAGTACCTAAAATATAGAAATATTTACACTGAATAAGACCTGATAATATTGTATTTAATAAAACAAGTCAGAATGTTACATTCGCCCCATTGCAAGGGTTGTTGTAAAAATAATGATATTGATATTGTCTCTCAAATAAAAGAACACACTGAAGTAATAACATTTCTTAATTATTATACTTGTATAGTTTTAATCCTTAATGTTTGTGACTGTAGAGAATTTGGGGGTTGGTAAGATTTGTAAATATCTGTGGTCTCTTATGCATATCCAAGGCATTTATTTAATCAAAAATACAGTAATATTATGAAATATTATTACAATTTAAAATAACGGTTTTCTATTTTGAATACATTTCAAACTGTATTTTTGGTGGGTGATAATTTTTTTCAGGATATTTAAAAATGAAAAAAAAATGTACAAGTTTTTATATATTTTTTTTGTTTGTTTGTTTGTTATTGTTTTTTTTTTTTGTACTTCAATATTAATTTTGAAAGTGTTTTAAATGTCAGCTTCACTGGTGTAAACTGGGAATTTTAGATGAGATCTGAGGCAGGCTAAGCAAGTCTTTTAAAACCATTAAACCAATTTTCTTGTCGTCTGGATTTCTGGGACCGGAACAGCAATAGGATCTATCCACAAATGTAAAAAATTATTTCAGATGTGTCAAAACAACTTAAAGCACATAATTTTGCTTATAGCACACGTATACATTTCACCACACTTCTTAAATGGGGTTTCAGAAAGTCCACAGTGTGAGGATGTAATAAATATGATTTTGTTTACTGAATATTCATCAGTCCCTGATGATATTTTTATCTGTATATATGTCTGCATATAAAAACACATGAAACCACAGTGACTTATTTTCCCTGAGTTCCAGTGAGGTTCCCATGACAACTGTCGTTCCTGTTGATTGCATTACTTGTTCACTTTTAGTATCATGAATGGAAATGGATACAGAATTGATGGTTAAGACAGAAGAGTGCTAGGGTGTAAATAATGCACCATGCATTATTGACTTTTTCTGGATTAGTGTGGACAGTCAAAATCCATAAAAAGGGCACAATGTACCGTAGTAATATGAAGGAATTTTGAATTTTGCACTTGCGTTGTGTTTTAGGGTTAATGACCTGGCAGAAAATTACCAGTACATTTTATTTAACAGCGTAGGTTTGTCTGGTTATGTAGTCCAGTTTTCCCCAGCTAGTAAATACTACACTATCTGGCTGCAAAAAAATTATCGGACATAAAAAAAGAATCACTATAACAGACAGACATCTAAGATGAATTAAGTCTAACTCTTTATTATTGCAACAACAGTCACAGAAAAATCCAGACAAGGCATTGATTTACTCAATGCAAAAAGAGCAGCGGGGAAACTCCAGTACATTTTGCTATTATTTTATTTATTTATTTATTTATTATAATTTATAAGCTGTTATGTTTTTTATACCAGTCTTGGTTCACACTGTTCTGGTCTGTTACTAATTCAGTAGCATCACTCTATTGGTATTGAGCCGAAGCAGGTTGAAGGTGGTGTAGTTCTGTTGAGACATTATACAGTCAATATCTATCACCATAATCTTTTGAAGTTATATATATATATACACACACACACACACACACATCATTCTAATATGCAGATTTGCTGCTCAGTAAACATTTCTTATTATTAATGTTTCAGCTTTGCAATCACAAGAATAAATTACATTTAAAAAATATATAGAAAACAATTATTTTAAATTGTAATAATATTTTACAATATTACTGTTTTACTGCATTTTTTTTATCAAATAATATTTAATTTCTGGGTTAACAAATGACAATTTTTGAGCAACAGGATTTTGGGTCAGACGTATCAAACCTCTGTCTGGTCCACCAGTCCTTTCACTTCAGGTTGTTTGGATGTCATATACAGTAAACCTAAAATATAACAAGTTAAGAAAGTCATCCTAAAGGATGGGTGTTTGAACGTCAAATTCAGAGAATTTCACTGCCCCGACCCCCTATCACCTAAACTCTGCTTTTACTTACCTGCACTAAAGTGTTGTGCTATTCCTGAGCAGCATTAAGCACAGGTACACATCCTTCAGCCCAAGAATCAATCGCACAGCGCTGAGGTTCTGGATCCTCTTGCCAAAAGAGTTCATGTTCTGGATCATCCCCTTCATCTCTCCTCAGGAGAAGACATTCAAGCGTCTCCACCAGGTTATTTTGTGCCCACCAAACCGAGAAGGGTATCAACTGGTTGAGGGCAGGAAGTTTGTGTATGAGCTAAATGAATGCCTCATAAAACTTTTCCATTGTACACGCTCAGAATAAAGGTACAAAAGCTGTCAGTGGGGCAGTACCTTTTCAAAAGGTACACTTTTGTAGCTTTTAGGTACTAATACGTACCTTTAAAGGTGCAATAGGAGATCTTGGAAAATGCTAACTTTAGCCTGATAGCACTGAAAGCGAACGTCCCACCCTCCCTGCAATCGCCGTCCAAAGCCACGCCCCCTGAACGCATTTACACTCACAGACCAGAGACAACATTACTACAATAGGCTACATCAGGTTCCCAATTCCAGCCCATGTTCCGAAGTGAAGTAAACTTCTGCGGTTTTCTCCTGCACAAAGGGCTGGACGCCAT